AAACCCTAAACCCGAAACCTCAAATCGAGGTTTCGGGTTTAGGGTTTCGGGTCCTGCAGGATCTTTTTAGGGAATGAGGGGTGTGAAGATTCGCAGTCAAGGAGTTGGGGTTGGGGGAGGGGGGGGGTTGAGGGGTTGGATGTGGTGGGGATTAGTGGCGGCTGCAGAGGCCCCAAACCCTAAACCCTAAACCTGAATCCGTTCAGGGTATAGGGATTTAGGGTTTAGGGGGGATAGGGCTCCTAAACCCCCATGAGACAGGATCCCAGACCCTTTCCAAGGTTCCCAAAAAAAGAAGCCGCAAAACAGGTATCCTACTATTATATATAAGTATATGTGGATTAAGACAGGCCTTCTTCGGAGGGTTTTCTTAAAACGCCTAAATCCTGAACCAGCCCCGCCAAAAAGAAAAAAACACCCTAAACCCCAAAGCCCTAAACCACACAAACCCTAAACCCCCAAAACCTAAAACCCCAAGAACCCTAAACCCTAAACCCTAACGCGTTCTGTGTTTGAGAGCCCTCTGAGGGGTTCTGGGATGGGTCTGTACCCAAATAGTATGGGTGTAGGCGACCAGAACCCATGCAGAATGCGAAATGTCCGACCCCATACCCAAGTATTTAAGTCACTCTCTTTGTAGGGTTTAGGGGTTTAGGGTTTAGGATTAGAGTATACAGGCCGGCACACAGACTACTTATCTCAAGCATACTGTTACATACCCCAGTGCGGAATAGCAAGCAACTTTCTGGCGGACTTCTCTCAGAGCCTTACCCGTATCAAGCTGTAAACCTTCAAGGTTTCCTAGCTTAATGTGGGGGCCTTGATAATTAGAATAGGGTTTTGGGGGCACATCGTAGTAGAATCATAAAAATGCCCCCCCCAAATGAAAATAATGAAAGTCATTATTTACCCATGCTCCTATATTTCTCGCCCTCCACGACGTGCACGTGCTCAACCATAGGTTTCCAAATCTTACAGCCTGAAGATCACTATGCCGCCCTTATAGCCCTCAACCCTAAACCCTAAACCCTATGCAGCCCTAACCCCAAAACCGCGAGACCCTCATCTCCAAAAATGCCAGCGGCCGCGCTGCCTTGGTGGCGGGTGCGGTGGCACACATTAGGGTTTAGGGTTTAGGGTTTAGGACACCAAGGAGTTCAGACCTCTGAGTGAGGTGGAACTGGAGAGCTTGAAAAAGGCGATGCAGCTCTCGCCATCAATGGCCCAGTACTTGCTGGAGAGTGGCTGGTCGCGGCCCGAAATGGCTTGGCCTTACTGGAGCCCGGAAAGGCAGTGCTGGCAGCTCTCCTATGCAGGTACACATCTCGTGGAACCTTTCTGGACGGGCAAGAAGGGATACAGTGGATAAGCCCTCAACGCCTACAGCCGGGCTCTAAAACTCTGAGGACCTTAAGCCGTGAAACCTCAAGGCCCTTAAAGCCTCGCGTTACAAATCCTCAACGAAAACCAACCCTAAACCCTAAACTCGAAACCCTAAGCCCAACCCTAGGCCCTAAACCCTAAACCATCAACCCTCAACCCCAAACCCTAAGCTCCAAACCCTTACTCCCTAAATCCTAAGCCCTAAGCCCTAAAACCCTCAACCCTGAGCCCTAAACCCTAAACCCTAAAGGGATCCCTTAAAGGAGCCCTAAAAGGATTGGGATGGTGACGGCGACCTCGACCTGATCTTGCCAAGCGGCAGGCAAACCCACCTTAGCTCTGGGGGACCGTCGGGTTTTTAGGGCTCCTTTAAGGGATCTTATTAGGGTTCCTTTAAGGGATCCTTTTAGGGTTTAGGTTTTAGGGTTGAGGGTTTAGGGTTTGGGTTCCTTTAAGGGATCCTTTTTGGGCTGAGTTTTTAGGGCTTAGGGTTTAGGGTTTAGGAAATACTGTCGGGTTTAGGGCTCCCCTTTAAGGGTTCCTTTAAAGGGCTCCTCTTAAGGTTCTTTTAAGTGTCCCTTGAAGAGATCCTTTAAGGGACCCTTTCAGGGTTTAGGGTTTAGGATTTAGGTTTACTGCTCCTTTAAGGGTTCCTTAAGGGATCTATAAGGGTA